GCCAACTTCTGATTCTGTGTCTCCCTCTCTCTGCCCCTCCACTGTTCATGCTGTCTCTCTCTCTCAAAAATAAATAAACATTAAAAAAAACTTTGTTTTTAATTTCTGCTTCTAGTATGTTTTGAGTGAAGTCAGAGAGAATGTGACTGGGGCCGATCAGAGCATGAAATTACAAGTCCAGGCTATCGGCCATCTCCTCTTTCCCACTTGAAGTTTTTCTTGCCTCACACAGCCCCACCTCTCCTTGCCCATGTCAACAGCCTGAGCTGAGAGCCTTAGCTGAGATGGCAGAAATGCCAGGAAGGGTCCTCTACCCTGTGACAACACAGTGTGGACACAGCATGTATGTCCTCTGACCCTAGATTAGGTTTTTTTCAACCTTAACACTAATGACATTTTGGACCAGATGGTTCCTCAGTTTGTAGTGAGGAGAGAAGTTATCCTGTCTACTGTGGAATGTGACCAGCATCCCTGGCCTTTACCCAATAGCACCTCCCCAGACAAAAATGTCTCCAGACGTTGCCAAATATTTCCAGGGGTGACAAAATTGCCCCACTTTAGCTCCTCACCCCCATCCGGTTGAGAGTCACTATTACAGACCAATTCCACCAGGCATCTGATGACCCCTCCCCTGCCCTGAGCTAACTTTTTCCACCTTCTGTGCCTTCTCACTAAGTTTTGCCAGGCTGCGTCAGCAGTAAATGCTGTGACTGTGTTGGTGACAGCCTACTGGCAGAAGCCCTGACCTCCAAGCTCCGAGGGAACCCAAGAACAGAGTCTTCTGCTGAGAGCCAATTAGAAATGTTTCCAATCAGTTTTACATGTTTTTCCTTTTTTGACTCCTTCCCCATTTGTCACCCTGTTCTTTCATTCATATGCAGGAAGAGGGATACGAATTCGGGATGTCCTAAAAGATGAAGAAACACTGACGCTATTTCTCATGAAAAATATTGGCCTGTCTGACTCAGTCGTCTACCTTCTGGTCAACTCCCAAGTTCGTCCTGAGCAGGTGGGTGGATGTCACTGGTCCCTGGAGTGGAAAGGTGAGCCCTGAGCCTGAGAAAAACAGGGGAGACCTTGCATTATTTTTCCTTCTTGCTTTCACATTCAGAATCCATGCTTTGTTCCAAATATTCAGAAAAATACCTGGGGGTCACTTGAGATAATGGGCCTTCCCATCATAGGATTCTGAAGCAGGCCAAATCCTGGAAACACTTCAAACAGCTCAGATTTTTATAGCTGGAAAGAACCTTAGAGATCACGTAGCTCAGACTCCTCTTATATTTGAGGAAACTGGGGTTTCTTCATGTATTCATCAAATACTTAGGGACGTTTTAGGTACCAGACTACAGTGTGAACAATACAGGCAAGCCCCTGCCTCTGGGAGCTTACATTCCAGTGGGAACAACAAGTAATAATCAAATAAGTGCTTCCAGGTTAAGATAGGTGCTGGGAAGAAAACGTGACAGAGTTGGGAGTTAGGGAGGAGCTGGGAGGCATGGGGTGGGGGCCTACTGAAATGAGACAGTCAGGGAGAGCCTTTCTGCCGAGGTGGTATCTGAGTAGACCTGCCTGAACAGAAGGCAGCCATGGAAATAACTGGAAGAAGAGAGTTCGGTGTGAAAACAGGCCACGCATGCGGTGTCTGTGTGTGCTGAGCTAACCTGCCCGGGTGGCAGACCTCTGATTTCCTGCATGTTTTCTTCTCGGTGCCAGGCAATCCGCATTGCACATTCTGACCTAATCCCCCTAGAATCTATTTCATGCACCTTCATAATCTCCTATAGGCATTCACAGTGTGTTCACCACTAACACAAGACTTTCTCATCTGTGAAAGTCTGGGCCTCACAGGCTCCTGCCCAGCCTCCTGGGCCTGTGGGTTCCTGGCGTGATGAACACGGTGAGAATGTAAGATAAGCAGTGGCCCCATAGTGCAGACGCCCCTCCTGCCTTTCCTGGCCAGGTCTGCACCTCCTCCAGACCCCAGGGAAGACTGAGACATAAACAGAGAATTTCAGAGCCGGTGTCAGTCCTGAGATAAAGTCTGAGCCCAGAGGAGGGAGGGGGATCCCACCCGCCTGGGCAGGGCTGGCTCTGTGGAAAGGGGTTTTCAAGCTGGTTCCCTGCACAGCAGTAAAGAAGCCCATACGTGCTTTTCTAGCTTCTCAAACCCTTGGGTTTTCCCTGAAACTACCTGAGGGGAACAGAGGGTCAGCCTTGAGGTGGTCCATCAGGGCCCTTGGGACTCAGTGCCCACAGCACCCAGGCCTTGGCCCTTGAAGTCAGGCCTGGTGGCCCTGCTCTGCTCTCCCTCCCACCCCCACCTGAGGGGGTGGTGGCTGCAGCTTTGATGGCTCATTCTCCCCTTTGCTTTCTCTTAGCTCATAAAACTTAAGTCCTGGAAATGCCTGTGATGACTTCCAGTTGGTAATAAAAGGGAGATGGAGATAAGGGCAGGAATTTAGGGGAAATTTCTTTCCAGTTCCTCTCTGGCGTGACATTTGGATCTCTAGTTGCTGTGCTGCTGGCATCAGAGCTGAGCCTCTCATGTGGGGAGAAGGGGCCAGAGTCACTGGCTATTATTTAGGCTGCTTGCTCTGATTAGCTGGTCCTTCCCTGATCAGCAACCGTGAGAGCTTGAGTCGGGAACCCCAAATTCCTGCTGCTTGCAGATGCCAATGCTGTTGTCCCAGCTCTCTCTGGGCCCCCCCCCCATGCCCTCCCTGCTTCTCAGCCTGGTTGCAGGCTACACCTGCCTCCTGATCTCTAACTCAGTCTCCATCCAGCTGTGCAACTCCTTCCCAGCACCGTGCACCAGAGCTTTCCCCTATGGCAGCAGTGTTCTCTCTCTGTGCTGTCCAATATGGTAGCCACTAGCCGGATGCGGCTGGTAGCACTCAAGACAGGGCTAGTGCAGCTGAGGAACTGAATTTTAAATGTGATTTAATGTTGATTACTTTAAACTCATTATTATTATTTTCTCAATGTTTATTTTTGGGAGAGTGAGAGAGAGGGACAGAGTGAAAGCGGGGGGAGGGGCAGAGAGAGAGGGAGACATAGAATCCGAAGCAGGTTCCAGGCTCTGAACTGTCAGCACAGAGCCCGACGCGGGATTCGAACTCATGAACCGTGAGATCATGACCTGAGCCAAAAATCAGAGGCTTAACTGACTGAGCCACCAGGTGCCCCGTGATTACTTTAAATTTAAAAAACCGTGTGTGGCTTACAGCTCTCTGATCGGTCATTCTCAGCAAACATGGGATTTTGTTCTTCACCATCAGGACTGGATGCCCCTCCTCGTCCTCTCTGCCTGGCATCCGAGCAGGTCTCCCTCCATCTAGGAAATTGTTAGACGATGAGAGTGGAATAGTTGTCTGGCTTGTCCCTCACCCCGCTCCCACACCCAGCTCTGTAAACTCCTGGACTTGCTTCAAGGTCCAGCTCAAGTGTTGCCTCCCCAATGAAATCATTCATAATCCCTCCTTTCTTTGTCTTGCCCCCTCCCTCTTCCCTACTCAACAAGGAGCAAAGAGGTAGTGATAAAGCACAAGCTCTGGGTTCAAATCTCAGCATGGCGACACAGTTAACTATGTGACCTCAGGCAAGTTAAATGACCACTCTGTGCTTCTGTGTCCTCATTTGTAAAATGGAGACAGTAAAAGTGCCTACCATATTTGACTGTTATGGGGGTCAAAAAATTAATATATGTAAAGCACTTAGAACAGTGCCTGGCACACAGTAAACGCTCAGTAAACCCTGGCTATTCTTAACACTTCCCTCTTCTGTGCTCTGGTTTCACTGCATTCACTTTAGCACTTACCTGCTCTTTAAATGCCTGCATTTCCAGCTAACCAATAAACTCCTTGGAGAGCAGAAAACTCACCTTATTTTCTGTATCCCCAGTAACTGTTTTAGTCCCTGCAGAAAGGGACTCAGTGAAAGGGCATTGAATGGATGAGTCACTGAATGAAAGAATGAGCTGGAACCTCTGTGGTATCCCAGCTTTCCCACTAGCCTGCTGTGTAATTTTCTCAAGTCACCTAACCCCTCCTCCATCGCTTTTTTCCCCTAGAATATTAGAGGTTTGGGCAAAGTGAGCCCATTGATTCCCTCCACCTCAGAATGTTTTAGATGCTGGGATTAGGGTTGGGGTGGGATTTTGCCTGGGGATAAGAAGCAGAGTGTGGGCAAAACAGAAAGTCTCTGTTGGAACATGCACCCAGTTACAGTTCCCTGAGTTTGATGGAGTCCACATCAACCCAATGTCAGCCATGACCTGTGCCTCATTTAGCAGGTGATGGGGTGGGGTGTAGGGATGTAAGTAGTAGAGCCTAAACCTGCCCTGCTCTCCTGCCCTGAGAACTGTGTAATCTGAAGGTTTGAGGAGACTACAGAGACCAGGGAAGCTCAGGAACCTGTTCACAATACCTAGGTGTCGGGAGTCCAAGACTCCAGGAGGCCAGTTAGTATCCTAGGTGGCCAAGGCTCCCTGGGCAGGGTTGAGGTCTCCTTGGTTCTGAGGCCATCATGGGGACTGTGATTCAGGGTCCAATAGTCACTGCCCATGAGCTCCACAGGAGCTGTAGGCTGTGGGCTATCCAGCAGTTAGGGTCACCAGATCAAATACAGGATATCCAAGTTAGTTTGAATTTCAGATAAACAAATGATTTTTTTAGCATAAGTATGTCCCATTTGGACTCTATTTGGAACATACTCATACTAAAAGGTGCTCATGGTTTATCTGAAATCTAAATTTAACTGAGCATCCAGTATTTTTATTTGCTAAATCTATTGAGAAAGGAGAGAGGGGGTTGGTCTCTTGCCATCACTCCGAATGCATCCTAGCCACTCCCACTCCTCAGCTTCAGGGGTCCTGATGGTACCTTAGCATCATGCTAAGAACAGATCTCTCACATTTTAAGTGGCTCTCTGATAAAATGAGGCCTGGGAGCATACAGTTTCCTGTGGCTGCTGTAACAAACCACCACAAACTTAGTGGCTTAAGACAACACAAATTTATTATGTTCTTGTTCTACAGGTCAGAAGTCTGAAAGCCAAGGTGTTGGCACGGTTTCATTTCTTACTGGGGAATCTAGAGGGAAATCCATTTCCAGTTTCCAACATTCCTTGGCTGGTGGGCTCCCCAGGAGTGACTAGTCAAGTCTTTCTCATATCACATTATTTTGACATTGTGTCTTCTACCTCCTTCTTCCACTAGGTTTAAAACAAAAACAAAAACAAAACAAAACAAAACAAAAAACCCTTGTGATTCCATTGGGTCCACCCAGATAATCCAAAATAATCTCCTGGTCTTAAAGTCAGCTAATCAGCAAGCCTTAATTCCACCTGCAATTCTAATTCCCCTTACCCTACAACACAATGTATATACAGGTTCTGTCTGTTAGGACATGGACACCATTGGGGTGGCTAGTATTTTCCTACAGGGAAGTTTCCAATTTTGCTTCTCTTGCCTGCAGTTTGCTCATGGAGTCCCAGACCTGACACTGAAGGACATCGCCTGCAGCGAGGCCCTCCTGGAGCGCTTCTTAATCTTTAGCCAGCGCCGTGGGGCACAGACTGTGCGTGATGCCATGTGCTCCCTCTCCCAGGGCACCCTCCAGTGGGTGGAAGACACTCTGTATGCCAACGTGGACTTCTTCAAGCTCTTCCGTGTGGTAAGGGAGGCATTTAGCGGCTTACCTCGTGGAAGGTAATTCCTGGGTGCAGTGGAGCCTGTCACAGGTCATCAGGGACTCACAGATTGACAGTCAGGAGGGCTTGAGCCTGGCGTTCACAGTTCTTAAGGAAACTCCAGGCTCCAAAGACCTAAGGAATCTTGACTGATAATATATCTAGAGCAGTTGCCCAGGCACCCAGGAGTCACTGTTGGGTTCACCATTAGTTTTGTGGTTATGAGAGAACCATGGCGGATGGGTGGGTGGGGGAAAAGTTACAGAGAGGGAGGGAGGCAAACCATAAGAGACTCCTAGATACTGAGAACAAGCTGGGGGTTGATGGGGGGTGGGGGAGAGGGGAAAGTGGGTGATGGGCATTGAGGAGGTCACCTGTTGGGATGAGCACTGGGTATTGTATGGAAACCAATCTGACAATAAATTATATTTAATAAAAAAATAAAAAAAGTTATGTGGTTATGTAGTTACGTGGCTAGGTTCACCCTTAGTTATGGGGCAGGTCTGAGTCCACTCCAAATGTGGGACAAATCCTCTCTACCACCTCTAGCAGTGGTGGAAAGGAGAAGGCCTGGTTTGACTCCCTGCCCTACCATTTCATAGGATAGCTGACCTTTACTGGCCCCATTACTCATGTATAAAACAAATATAATACTGTATAGAATGTTAAGAAGGGAGACATGGAAAAATAAATGTAATGCATTTAATAAATTTCAACAAATGAGAGCTTCACACTCTGGGTCTGCTCTTGACCACAAAGGTTGCCTTTTCTGGGTAGAAAAGAGTAACAGAAAACTTCATAGTCTCAAAAATTTGGAAAGCCCTCAATTAGCTCAAACCTGTGTTCTAGAACTGCATCCCAGACACACTTCTTGGGACTTGATAATACCTCCTCTTTTGCTAGGAGGATGAGAGGGAATTTTAAAAAGGAGGTGAAGAGCAGCAGTTCTCACACTTCAGAGTGTATGAAAATCATCAGGGCAGCTGGTAAAAGATGCAAGTTCCAAATTGCCATCCCCAGAGACTGATGCAGGAGATCTGGGCTGGGCCCAGAACCTGCCCTGTTACCTTAAGGGATTCCAGTGGACATCATTGTAGGCCATGCTTTAAGAAACACTCAAAATTAGAATCCTTCAGAGAAGATGACATATATAATAATATAATAACTATATACAGTTATACATATAATTATATATAGTTATATATAACTTAATATAACTTAATAATTATATATAGTTATATATAATAACTACATATATAGCTCATATATGTAAATGTTTCTAGGATCCAATTGTGTTTTTTCTTGTGCCTGCATTTAAAAAAATTTTTTTTCAATTTTTGCTTATTTTTGAGAGACAGAGAGAGACAGAGCATGAGCAGGGAAGGGGCAGAGAGAGAGGGAGACACAGAATCTGAAGCAAGCTCCAGGCTCTGAGCCATCAGCACAGAGCCTGATGTGGGACTCAAACTCGTGAACGGTGAGATCATGACCTGAGCCAAAGTCAGACACTTAACGGACTGAGCCACCCAGGTGCCCCTCTTGTGCCTGCATTTTAATTTCTGAAACTGTGTTGTAGGAATACGTCAATCATGAGAACTTCGTTGAGGAATTTGCGTTTTGCCTTTTTATGGTTGCTCTCTCAAGTCTGAGAAAATCCACTCTCAGCTCGTCTTAAAAAGCAAGCTGAAAGCTTTTAAAAATAAAACAAAATAAAACAAGACCCCTCCATTTCTGGCAGAGTTTATACTTCATTCCTTTCGAAGTGTGACTCTCCCTTAGAATGTTACTCTACAATGTTCCCAGCTCATCTCATCGGGTGGGTCTCCAGAGTGGTAAGAGGGGTCGGTACTTATGGATGCCATCACCACTGAGAGCCCAGGACCCCAGAAAGCTCTCTTGGCTCCCCATGGTGCAGGGAGAATTAAAGGCATGTGGTTCAAACTTCTCTGTCCAAAATTCCAAAGGGAGTCAATTTTAGACTCATTCCTTGGTTTGCTTTTAGAATCAGAAGAGGAAGTAAGGTGATAAAGATCCCTTATTCTGGACAGCTGAACACCAGCACAGCTAGGGACTAGTACCTGTGTTTGCAGAGGTGTTAAAGGGCCCTGGGCACCCAGGATCGTGCAATCCTCTGGTCACTAGAAAAAAGACAGGGTTATGCATCTCTTTTTGAAGTACCTTGGCTTCTGGAATAGGCAAATGTACCTTTAGGGCATGACCACCAATACTGGGAAAACAGCTTGTAGCAGGATAAAGGGGGACCTAGGCAAAAATTTCCATTAGGGACTGGAACCAAACTCAGGTCACTGGCTTCAGAACGACCAGAAAGTCTTTCCTTCTGTAAGTGCTAGAGTTCAGAAACCAGAGGAGAACTCTGGCTGGTCGTCCTCACTGACCTGAGACCTGTCCTGCGTGGTTGCTCACAACCTCTGTACATGTGTTCATGCACTCAAACCTGACCGGGTGCCTTCAAGGGGCTAGGCACTGTGCTGAGGCCAAGTCTCCAGCCGTGAGCCTTGAGCCATGAGCCCTCCCACCCTCACTGAGCTCTCAGCCTGAGATAAGCAAAAAGGTGTTAGAAAAACTAACACTGACAACATTTGGTCACTGTAGCAGTGGTTCCCAGCCTGGCTGCACATTGAACCACCTGGGGAACTTTTAAAAATTACCAATGCCTGGCTCCCACTCCCAGTGGGCCTTAGTGTTTTTAAAAGCTTCCCAGATCATTTCAATATCCAGCTGGGTTGAGAATCACTGACCTAGAACATAGGAGTTTGATTCCCAGGTTGAGAATCACTGACCTAGAACATAGGAGTTTGATTTACAGTCTCAGTTTCTGTAGATGAAGCATAATAATAGTATCCCAAATGCCACTAAGGCTTCAAAGCGCTTTCATTTGATCACCCATAAGACCAGGGTGCTGTGGACCCCATCCTCCCTGCCATTCTTTTAACAAAGACAGTTCATAGCCCCAGAGACCCCCTGGAGGAAAAAAAAAACTCAGCAGGAAGTGGGTACCCAAGACGACCCCCTACCAGCATTCTTCTTGCTCCTGCTCCTCTCTGTGGGGAAAGACGAGACCAAGACAGGACGCATGGAGTGCAAGCAAAGAAGACAAACACCCTGTCTGGTGCCCTTGAAATGTGCTTCTTCATTTGAAAAATGGATAGAGTGGCTAAACATTAAAAAATAATAATAACTAATAAGGAAACCCAAAAGAGATTGCAGGCATGAACACCAGAGTTTTGCTTTTACTGCTCCTGTACCTATCCTCTCAGTGTTTTCAGAAAAACAACCCTGAGGCAGCAGAGAAAGGCTCAGGGAAGACCCTCAGACCCTCTGAGACGGCCATCAGGGAAGCAGGGGCTGCTCCGAGGCCAAGGGTGGGGGCCCCTCCGGGACTAGGCTGTTGTTGCGGCTGGTTGGCGGGCAGCCACGCTTGGCTGCAGCACGGGGGAATGCTGCACCTTCTGTTCTCCTGGGCTGTTTCTCACACGCATGTCCACCAGTGTGCAAGTAAGGTTTTATTAAATGCCAAGTTAGTGCTCATTAACAAAGAAAGAGGGGCACTGTCAGCAAGCCGGTGTGACAATCCCCGCCCCCGTGGTGTAAGGTGCAGGGGCGTGCGTTGGTGGGTGGGCGTGCAACCTCCAGACCCGGAGGTTCAGCTGAGGGAATCCGGGAGGAGGGTTTGGCCGTTAGCACCAACTGGGGCCAGCTGTGTTTTCCCTCGGCCCCTTGGAGATCAGAAGCCAGTGTTCTCATCCTCAAATAATCCCAACACGGTATCCGCGGCCTGACTCCCACCCCGCCCGTCCCTATACGTACAGTCACGCACACCAAGCGCACGTGCCTGCCGGGGCGTGCGCACAGGTAGGCACGCGCACGCGCGCCGCACGCCCAGGGACCTGGGTGGACTGTCAGGTGGCGGGATTTTTCTCTGAGGAGATTTAGGCCCTCCTGGTTTCAGCGGGGCGGAGATAGCTTGAAAGAGCTTGGCTTCACCTGCGGTCTTCTCGGGCTTGATGCCCCTAGCTGGAAAACCAGCAGCTCAGGCCTGGGCCCACGGTATCTGTATCAAGTAGCGTGCGCGCCAACGCTACCTGAAACGTTGCACACCTCGTAAAAATGGTATGTCAGTTTCGGGTGAGGGGTTGGGACGTTTCCCATCAGATTTGGCCCAAGGCTTGCATGCCCCTCCTCCTCCTTCTCCTCCCTCTAAGGTCCTTCCTGTTTTCTCTCCGACTCTGCTGCACAGCTTTGAAATCTTGCTGAGAAGCAAATCTGTCCCTTCTGCTTTGAATGTTTATTTGTGGAAGTTCGGCAGGGGAACGGAGGCTGTGCCAAGACCTGCCACACTGCTGGGAAATCTGAATTTCCCTCCCTTCCCCCTTCTCAATGGATGTTGATGGAGGAAGTTTGGCCTCACAGGCATTTTGGCCCCCGGTTTTCCCCTTTGCAATCGCTTTCAGTGTGGCACAGTTCAGTTTTCCTTACTTGCCCTCAGCCACTATTCTGTCACAGTTTTTACTTTCCTGACTTCATTTCACCTATATCTCTTTCACTGTGGGGTGGCTGAACACTGATTGGAACGCGGAAGGACCCGGTCTTGGGGGGCTGACCGTATGCGCCTTTCAATGTCTTGCTTTGTTCTTGGCTCTGCTCCCTAACTTGCTGAATCGTGGGGAATAAATGTGGGTGGACTGCCCCATGTGAGGTGGCCATGGTTTCTGTTCTCTGGGGTCTTTCATTGCAGTTTGTTAAATTCAACTTAGCGCATTTCAATTTTCAGATAATGGTGCCGTGTCACAATTCTCTGGAAAAGCCCCAGTCTCCAGGAATTTATAATGAGGTTCCGTTAATGACTTAACCTCATGATTTCCTCTCCCTCCCGATTCTGAATCTTTGGACTGACAACTTTCTCCCACTTCTGTGTGAGTTTTGGGAGGGAGGGAGAGAAAGGAGTGATACCCAGTGCCAGCAGCATGGGCGAGGGGCAGCAGCTGTTGGATGAAAATAAAATGATGTCAGAAATTAGGGTTTTTGCTTTTTTGAAAATTATAAAGCTCACAGCAAGTATATTTGGTTTATAGCATTAGTATTTGTTCTGCCTGCATCTGTAAAACCATGTATCTATTACAATCAAAATCTCTACTGGGTGAATGGATTTCGGTAAAGAAATAAAGAGGAAATAGGAAAGAGAAACATTAATGTACATTAAATGTGCATCTGGCCA